GAATGGGTGCAGAACATTACGTTAATTCTGCTTTCTAAAAGGAGCCCTCCTCGCTGCCTGTGTCTGATTTCTCTGACAGAATCCTTTTCGCCTCTTAACACAGATCTGCTGTATAAAACATGTCAAACGTCTCTTAAACATTTTGCCAATACTCACTGAAATAACCACAGTTTTTTTCACCAAGTACAGCTCAACCTTCCCTTCTTGCCGGGGGCAACAGAGAGTCCCCACCCCTAGACGCCCAGGGAGGCCAGCTGCCTCTGGGAACTCATCAGCCAGAAGGGGTCCTCCACCTAACTGAGATGGTAGGGGCTGCAGCTTTTCAACTGTTCACCCCACTGATAAGTGCAGAGGCTATTTGACTGTGAGACATCTATTGTCAGTGCCCCTGGCAAAGCCCCAACAAGGAAGGCTGCCTTTGAATCACTGTTATTTCCAACTTTTTTTAAAAAGTGTTTTTATTGATTTCAGAGAGGAAGGGAGAGGGAGAAAGAGCTAGAAACATCACTGATGAGAGAGAATCACTGATTAGCTGCCTCCTACACGCCCCCCACCCTGACTTGGGATCGAGCCCGCAACCCAGGCATGTCCCTTGACCAGAATCGAACCCAGAACCCTTCAGTTCGCAGGCTGACACTCTATCCACTAAGCTAAGCCAAACCGGCTAGGGCGCTACTTTTAACATTTAGCTGCAAAATGAAAAAGTGCCCAAGAAGGACACGTCTTACAAGGTCTGGTGGAAGAGTTTCAGAAAGAATGGATGTGCAATGCGTAGGGGTGAGCAGGGCCAGCCATGTCTTAAACAGGGCTGGGGGGAGTGAATTTGAAATTTAACTTAAATGACCCTAAATTAGAACAGCTATTTGTGGCTAGGGGCTCCTGGACTGGACTGTGGAAGGTCTAAGATGCTCTGCCATTCTATGGTGTGGTGGCAGACCAGGGAAATCGGATGCAGGACACGCAATTCTCAGAACCTTCGGACAATTCCCTCAAATCCCTTCTCCTTTCAGCAAAGGGACAGAGCCCCAGAGTACAACGATGAAGGCTGATCATGTGCCATTTACCCTGCTTGCCCAGAGGCCCCTGAAGGCAAAGATTGGTCTAATTCATCTCGATGTTTCCTCAACGAGCCTTGAAAGATGTATAAAGTGTGCTGCTGGATTAAAACTTCCTCACTGCTCAGCCAGTGTGGCTCAGTAGTTGAGTGTCAACCTATGAACCAGGAGGTCATGGTTCGATTCCTGGTCAGGGCACATGCCAGGGTTGTGGGTTTGATCCCTTGTAGGTGATGTGTAGGAGGCAGCCAATCAATGATTCTCTTTCATCATTGATGTTTCTATCTCTCTCTCCCATTCCCGTCCTCTCTGAAATCAATAAAAATATATTAAAACAAAAAACAAACGAACAAACAAAAAAAAACCCCATCCTCACAGCATTGGACAGAGTTCCTCTCCCTGCACCTGACGCGGAGCTGTGCCGTTAACAGCACTTCCTGTGATGATGGAAACAGACTTCATCTGTGCCGTCCAACACGGTGGCTACTACCTAAATGTGGATCTTGAGCACTTGAAATAAGGATATGTGACTGAGGAACCAAATTTAAATTTTATTTTCCTTTAAATAATTTCAATTGGAATAACCACATGTGGCTAGTGGCTACTGGACTGGTCAGGGAAGGCCTGGCTGCTCCACAATTCCATAACCAGACTGCAAACCGCGGTGGGAAGATCTGATACGAGGCTTTGCCGGGGTTTCCCAGAGCCCCTGTCAGGTCCCCAAACCCTCCTTCTCCTTTCGGCAAAGCGACAGAAGCCCACTGCAGACGCAGACCAGTTGGAGTGATGCATGCCTGCAGGCGCATCTCTAGATTGGCAAAGCCGGGGTCACACGGAGGAATGTACCGGCTTCCACTGCAGCCTCACCAGGCCTGCAGTTGGAGCAAGAGATAGTGATCATTTCAACAAAAGCATTGTCCAAGCTCAGGTCACCAGGAAATAATGGCCAGAGGGATTACTTAACTAGACGTGTTAAGAACACAGATAAGCTGGAAACCGTGACTGCTGTGGTCCCGGACAGCAGAGAGGCAGCAACTGCACATGTACTATGTGGGAAACGAGGTTTGCAATTTACTTGTGAGGCCTAGAGGACAATCAGGCTGCATTTAATGCTTAAAACCAGGAGCTAGAGTGGTAAAAAGTTACCGATTAACTAAAATGCCTCCTTGTGAACCCTATGCTGCTGGGGGAGGCATTATGTTTATATTTGAGGGTTAGTATAGGACTTCACAGAATGGATACCTATGGCCATGGCTGACTAGTTGACCCATCCCCCTTTAGCTTAAGTTGTCATTTCATTTCTTTAGGACCTGTATCTTCTCCACTTCAAAAATTGTTTGAGATGGCTTACCCTACAATGTACAGATATGGCAGAACTGTGACCTCATTACAACAAGAGGAAAAATAAAGCCCATTAATAAGCAAGGAAGAGTAGGGACTTTATCAGAAACCTGGGCTCAGGGAAGCCAACTCAGTTGAGCACGTCATGGAGCTCTGAGCTCCCTGGTAATCAAGTCAAACAGGGAACTAGCGCATTAGATATGTCTTACTGAATAATAACAGGGCTCAAGCTAGCATTTTAGGAGAGATCTTTTTCCTGGCCTTGAGAGGAGTTGGTCACATTTAAAAGAGAGTGGGGATATAAAAGAACTTGACGCAAACTGTCCTTGATACAAATTGAACAGAAAATCAGAGATGTTCTACGCATGTTTTTTCTTTGTATTCACTACTCATTAAAGACAAAATGGAAACAAAACCCCAGAGGGCATGCCGTGGTTCTGTGCAGAAGCTTATTTCCAGGGATCTGGAATCCGGCAGCAGTAAAATCTGACAATCTAGAGAAATATTACTGTGGTTAACATGTCCATGCCTCTGGGGAATGTGGAATGAGACTGAGCTTTGCTCACGGACAGGTAACAACTCTGAGAAGTCCAGCCCCAGACCCCAGGCCCCCAGCCTGTCTTCCAGTGGGCACCCTAGGGAGCTGGCTGCAGCCTCCAGCCCTCAACTCCGGCCATCTGGGCCTCAGCAAACTCCTCAACAGCCAACACAAGCAAGTAAAAAGAGAGAATAACCCAATCTCTTACTCTTGGTGTGGGCTCTGGTTCTGGGAAACCTCCGAATCGCTGTCTTTCGGGGAGAGGGAGCCCTTGTAGGTGTAAAACACATCCTCGGTTTCGGTGATGTACGTCATCTCGTTGGCGAGGTTATCCACGGAAGAGTGCCGTGGCTTTCGGATTTCATGCCGGAGCCGAGGACTTCGCCTGGGTGGGGAAAAGGTGGAGTGTGAAGTGTTGAAAGCAAATTCCACTTAAAAATTTTTTTTATCACACACCAGCGATCTGACTTTATGCCCTGACCTTTCTAAGAATGACTGGGCTGATGCTGCTGGAAAGTTAAAAGCCAGTTAACCCATTACTACCCCAGAGTCCACCAGGGGCCACGTGGGTCCCCAACACTGTCAGCCCAGCGGTGCAGCCCCCAGATGGCTCAGTTTCATAAAGAGGTGAAGGAGACAGGTTTATGCCCTTTGGGAAGGCACTGAGTATTGATGTAGGGTGAGCCATTCTTCAAGGAGAACTCAAGCTCTCAATGCATAAATATTAGGCCATACTGACTGCTGACCAGACAATTTTCCTGATTCTCTTGAACAGTAGAAATAAAAGGTTTAGAAGTCAAAACTCAAACCTTATTTCAACTACTAGTACATCACTTCATCCAAGAAGAAATGTTCGCTCTGTAAAAACATCCCTTATGTGATGTGAGATGGACATCACAGCACTATCCTTTTCCTCTGATAGTAGCGGTAGCTCTGTGACCTTAGGCAAGTCACCTCACCTCCCTGGGCCTTAGCTGCACCTGCCTGCTCCTGAGAATAAAGCAGAAGAGGCGATGTTCTCAGGATGCCAGGGGCAGCCCCTGGGCATCGGCTATTGCAGTGGCGATTCCAGGAGCTTAGCTTTTTCTAAGTTCTGTTTTCCCTCGGCTTTTCCTCCTTGTCCAGCCCCTTGTGAGCCATCTGTCCTTGGGGCTGTCAGGGCCTCCACTATTCACCACCCCCTGGGCCTGGACAATCAATAACACGGTGTCCACAGTAGAGCAGAAAGGCTGGTATCTCCTTAGGGAGGACCTATAAATAGCATCAGAGCTCCCCGCCAAGGGTGTGGCAACATCAAACCCAGCTGTCCTCCTGGGTGCCATCCTGGGCCTCTGCTGTCCCTGGCACTGCTGCCTAAGATACTTTCAGGCAAATTAAGCTACTTTATAGTGTAAATTTACCTCTTAAGAATGTGGGCCCATATCTTGGAACCCAACAAGCAAATCTGCTCAGCCCTGTTACGACTAACAACAACCACCATCGTCATCCCTGCCCAGGGCACGGGGCCCCAGTGGAAGGTCCTTACCCAGAGGCCTGTGAGAATTGCCCTCAGCCTGGGAACTTAAAGGTTCACAGGTCTTTCGTGAATAGAACAGAAAACCACACTCCTATCCTAGCATGGAGCTGGGGCAGTGTTTTCAGATGGGTGTCCCTTCTGTGGCTGACGCCAGGGTGCTGGGGAGGCACCCACAGAAATCGCCTGATGCCTTTGGGGGAACATTGTAATAAAATAACAATAATAATCCCACCTCAAGCTATTTATTTAGCATTACTTCTTTTACGGCAATTTTTATAATCCTTTTATATTTGGGGCGACTGAGACCAGAGAGGTAGAGAAACCTGTGAATGAGCAGGAAAGTTAAATCTGAGCCTGGGTTTTTCAGCTACAAACCCAGTGCCCTTCCCCGGTGCCCAACTGCCACTTCCTTCCTTTTCCCCAACTCCATCATCTTAAACGGTGGCAGGCCCCCTCCCCAAGTGCATTTGCTACTGTTGCTGAGGATCGCACGTCCGTCCGTCCATCAGTTCTATCGTGCTCCTGTATCAGGTTTCCCCAAAGTTTCTTCTGTGATGGTAATGGGAAACGTGAGATTAGATTAAATAAAACTCAACACGCTCTTTATTACAGGACCTGTTAGAACATTAATTGCTCATGTGCACTCGCATTCCAAGAGGGCATTCCAGCAGGCTGCCGTTCTCAAATCTAGACCAAATAACTTTTAAAAAAAGAACATCCTGGCATTATCCACCAAGGACAATGTTTAGCTAGACGTGTGCCTTTTGCCAAAACAGTTTCCTCTGCAGCAGCCAAACCTGCAATTCTGTCATTGGCCGTCTCGATTTAGGAATTCATTATTTTTGTTTGTTTGTTTGTTTTTGAGAGAAAGTGCTTATGGGTGAGTAATACAAAAAAAGGAGGACGTACCAGTTGGGAGTAATAGGAGGGGACCGGGAAGGCAGGCTCTTGGTTTCTAAATGCTCCACGGATAAGGATCTCCGCATGGCTGGGTTCCAGACCATCCCTCCAATCACCTTTTTGCAATACTGGTTATTTACAGACCTGAAAAACCAGATGCAGGTTCACTTTCTACACTGACATGTTCAACAAGGAAGACATTGCAGTGTAAGTGGAATGCTCTGCACACCCTCCCTCCCCGGACCCTGATGACACCGGCCGAGGTTAGCAGGCGTAAAGGTGCGGGGGTCAGAAGCGATCCTTTACTCTCCTGACTTTTCTTTGTTATTTTTTTCTCTTCTGGTGAAGATCTCTCTCTCTCTCACTTTCTCTCTCTCTTTTTTTTTTTGGTCTTCTACTTAAAGCACGCAAGCCGGGCATGTGCTCTTGCCAGGAATCGAACCGTGACCTCCTGGTTCATAGGTCGACGCTCAACCACTGAACCACGCTGGCTGAGCTGAAGGTTACTTTTGAATTTTATTTGTACCGAGAATTTAAATCTTAGCTATCTAGATGCCTTAGAGCAGTGATGGCGAACCTTTTGAGCTCGGCGTGTCAGCATTTTGAAAAACCCTAACTTAACTCTGGTGCCGTGTCACATACAGAAATTTTTTGATATTTGCAACCATAGTAAAACAAAGACTTATATTTTTGATATTTACTTTATATATTTAAATGCCATTTAACAAAGAAAAATCAACCAAAAAAATGAGTTCGGCCCTGGCCAGTTTGGCTTGGTGGATAGAGCGGACTGGCCTGCGGACTGGGGGGTCCCGGGTTCAAATCTGGTCAAGGACATGTACCTGGGTTGTGGGCTCATCCCCGGTGGGGGGTGTGCGGGAGGCAGCTGATTGATGTTTCTCTCTCATGGATGTTTCTAGCTCTCTATCCCTCTCCCTTCCTCTCTGTAAAAAATCAATAAAATATATTTTTTAAAAAATGAGTTCGCGTGTCACCTCTAACACGCATGTCATAGGTTCGCCATCACTGCCTTAGAGAGTGAATTATTTCAGAGGATGAAGTTTGAAGCCAGTTTAGGAGAAACTCAGTTCTGGGATTTCTAGATTTTAAAAAATGTTTCGATGTCGTATGAAAACATTCCACACATTCGTCGCAGCCTAAAACCACCAACAGCAACAAAAGAACAAAGTCCCCAAGGACACAAACAACACCAAACAGCCCCTAGAATATCACTGCACTAATTTACAAGAAGTACCACTGTCACCCTCATCAAAATGTGCACAACAGCACTGCTACCAGAACCTACACCAAATTACCACTGACCGAGAGCACAGCACCGAGGGAGGGCAGCAAGCGGGCGATTCAGAGGTTTAACATAGTGGCTTCCCAAAGGATGTGTCATGGGTTATTAATAGGTACTCTTTGGGGGGAGGGGGGAAGTGTTCCATTGATCCCATAAGCTTGGAAAACACAGAATGGGTTTCTTTTATGTGGACCCTATCATGGGGAGGCCTCATATGCAAATGTGTAGATGTATCTCTGGGGGTTCACCAAGTGCTGGAACCTCTCTAAGCCTCAGTTTCCTCATCTGTAAAATGGGGCTGAGACGTCGCAGGACACTGAAGCTGACACTGGTAGTAAAGAGTTGCTGACCTGTGCCCCTGGACTACCCACAACATCCCACCTGACCCCAGTAGCCAATGAAAGATGGCTGCCGGTTCTCTGACTCCTGAATCGGGCTGGCCTGTGACTGCTGTGACCCAGAGCAGCCAGCTGGTCACAGCTGTGTCTCTTCTGGACCCAGCCTTTACGATGATCGGCCACCTCTGTCTCAGATCTTGGAGCCCTGAGCCTGTGTGTATGAAACCCAACCACCCTGCTGGAGCGCTCACATGAAGAGGCCCTGGGAACACAGAGAGGGTGAGGGGTCCGGGTGAGCCGGCCTGCCAATCATTTCATCAAGGCACCAGGTGAGCGAGAGAAGTCCTCTTGGACTCTCAGACCAGACTAGCTACCAGCTGCATGTCGCTGAGCAAAGAACTGTCTGTCTGAGGCCTTTCCAAATGCCTGACCCACAAAATCTTGAGGTATGATACAATGGTTGTTGCTTTAAGTCACCAAAATAAAGGTAGCTTTTTATGCCACAATGCATAACCAGATGTCCTCCCCCACACTCTATGTTGACTCTATTTTACAGATGAGGACACTGAAGCAGCAAAGTAAATTAAAACGGAAGTGGCACAGGTAGGATTTGAGCCAGGCTGCTCGGCACCAGAGTCCACGCTCTCAGCTGGCCGGAAGGATTGGGTCCAACTGAGGTAAGCACTGCATTCCAATAAGTTGTGCTCATAGCTTGTTCAGTAATACATCTCCTGAATGTGTAAAATACTAGATAGTATTATAAGAGCAAAAAACTTTGAAACTGTATTTGTTTGTGGTTTATCAGAACCTGAGAGAGAGCACGTAGCGCCATAAATCCTATCACTGATACAGAAACTTCCTACTTATTGAATCTATAGTTACTTAATGATTATCAATGAAACAGGAAAGTCACTGGAGGTGTCTGACACAGCCCCATATATCAGGGACTGGCTCACACAGGGGTATTGTTAAGTTAGCAACAGCCACATCCACAATGCAAAAATCACAAAACCAATTTCTCAAACCAACAAATGATCCACAAATCATAAAGAGTAATTGAGCCCAGCCAGGGTGGCTCAGTGGTTTAGCAACAGCCCATGAACCAAACGGTCCCTCCCAGTTCAATTCCCAGTCAGGACATATGCCCAGGTTGCAGGCTCGATACCCAGTAGGGGGTATGCAGGAGGCAGCCGATCGATGTTTCTATCTCTCTATCCCTCTCCCTTCCCCTCTCTCTAAAATCAATAAAAACATTTAAAAAAATAATTGATAAACAATTTCTGCTACAGCGTGTACTTAGAAGGCAATCTGAACACAAATACACAAAAATATACAAAGCATGGTTAGTTTATTTAGAGAATGAATTTTAATCTATATTAAAAGGTAAACATGTATAGGTTAATTTCTTTTCCTTTACTACTTATTAAATACTTTGAATATTATTCTTGTACATAATAGTACACATGGGATTGTATAAGAATTAAATATAATTATGTGTGCATGATACAAAGCAAGCACTCAATAATTATCAGCTATAATTATTCCTTGTAATTATAATTGTTATTTCACGATGGTTATATATAGCACATACTAGTCACTTGACTCTGGAAATCTTATTCATTCATTACTACGAAGCATCTGAGGGAATGAATATTCTGTGGGCAAGGCTGTCTTAGTGGCAGCGGGCCAGCAAAGCCCATATGCCAGCTCCACGGTGACCCTGAGTCACTGCCACGTGCTTCCCTTATTGTGACCTGGTGTGAGAGCAGCTGTGATGCTGGCTGCTCGGGAGCTTGGAGGATAGCAGAGCAGAGAGGCAGAAACAGGCGATGGGAACATGAGCAGAATCTGAGCATGTGTGGAAAGAGACACCCCTGCCCCCGGAGGGACGGACGGCAGCCATCGTTCCGAGACCTGTCAGCAGCTCCGGCCCCAGCGCCTGGGGCCTCTGGGTGATGCCATCCCTCCCCCGACTGAGCATGTCCACCCCCCGGTGAGGACCAGGACATGTTTACTTCTCAGTCTGGCGTGGAGACCAGCGTGTACTCACTTGTTGGGGTTCCTGGAGCCCAGCGTCCAGTACTGAGACAGAACATTCTTTTCCCGAGGCAGCAGCTTCTTTGCCTGAAAGAACGTATGGTGCTCGACACAGGATTTCCACAAGGTTTTGCAAGATCGGTAATTTAACATGTTGAAGGCCACAATGTGATCCCTGGATTCCGTCTGGGAGGAGAAACACAGTAGAGGTTTCATCGGCGCAGAAGTCGGCTCAAGGTCTCGGCATCTCACGCCACGCGGGTGGCAGTCACGTGAGACGCGGCAGAGCGCAGGAAACTGGCTCCCCAAGGCCTCGGCCACAGCCCCGTCTTGCAGGAACGCTCAGGAGTGGGCTGGTGCACCGTCTTCCTCGTGGGAAAGGCGACCCGAGTCTACTCTTCGTCAGTATCTGTGGTCCTTCGTGAGCACCTCCCTTTCAAAGGTGCCTACATTTCTAGGTTGGATATATTTGGAACAACCAGAAGGGCTGTGGGATACATTCCTTTGAACATTTAGCTCTGGGCAAATCTCTCCCCTGGAGAGAGAACTTGCACCCAGCAGGCCGGCCGCGGGAATAATTCCGGATCACTCTGGATTTCTCTACTTGCTTTCCACAAAGCAGAGTGAAACAGAGTGCTCATGCAGAACCATTACCTTAATTATCTGCTTGCCTTTCAGCTGCCTGAGTTTAGGATTTGTTTTCGTGTTAAAGCACCATCATCCTGTGCATTTCTGGGCCACCTGGAATCCTGTGGGGATGCGGGGGAGGCGGGGGGAGCCCCAGAGGCTAGCCCTGGTTTTCTCTGGGCTTTCGTGCCCTTGTTTCTAAGCGTTCGCTGCGATGGGGAGCCATTCTAGGTTCACACTCTCTTTGCAACCCTGGGAAATGGACACAGTGACAGTAAGTGAACAGCCTGCAGCACAACCAGACGGAGCGGGGAGCCTCAGCTCCCTCACTGCTGAGCCCTTCTTCCTCACGGTCAACCAGATGGAGTCACCGGCGGCCCGGTCCTCTCAGGAGACACGCACAAAGGCCAGCATGCACTGGACACATCAAGGGAAGGGACAGACCCTGCTGACACCTGCAGCTACGCTCCTGTGCCAGGCGCTCTGACCAGTGCTCTGTGTTTAATCCTCAGGATTCCCCGAGAAGCAGGCAGTGCTGCGTTCCTGTAAATAAGGTAACTGGGCTCGGCCAGGGGAAGGTGAGTAATCCGCCCCGTTGGTTGGTGCGTGGCAGAGCTCGCCTGAATCCATCATCTGACCCCAAAGCAAGTTACTTCTCCAACCGGACAAGCAGAGTGAGTTCTACAGAGAACTGCTGGGTCCTCTGGGCTCCGAGTTCCGTTTTCTTCCCACCTAAGCCCCGCTCTTCTCCCTGCTCTGCACCTGGCCAACGGCCTGCACCCGCTGAAGGAGCTGAGGTGGTGGAAAACGAGACACAAAGCAAGCGAAGGCAGAACTCACCTGCTTTTGTCGCTGATGTATAAAGAACTTCTTCCTTTTGAAAGAGATTTTTAGAATGTTCACCCTGCATGGATAAAACACACCAAGAAAGCACATCGGGGATCAGCCGGGCAGTGGCTGACTCCTCCCAGTGTACGTCCTCTGCTCTAGGGTCACGGTGACCGGAGTTCACTTCCATGTAGGAATGATCCCGGCCCCATCGCCTCGGCCCCACACCAAGTAGCTGACTGAAGCCAGGAATCACATAGGAGCCGCTGGATTACGATGTAGCTTTTAAATAACAAGAACTATGGGCAGCGCGCTCTTTGCTGCAGCTGCATTTGTGGTAGCTCTTCATGAGCTGGTGGGCACCTGGGGGAGACAGGGGTGAGGGTGTGGGTGGGGAGGGTGGTGTGGAGCCGCAGAAAGAGGACCCACATCCCAGCTCCTTACTCAACAGCTGCGTGTCCAGCAGCCCCTGGATTGTTTGCGTAACAACACAATTACAGCCTCGACTAACTGAGCATTTTTTATATACCAGGTCCCCTACTAAAAGCTTTACAAGCAGTCCCTCATCTAGCCTTGCAACAGCCTGAAAAGTACGTTTTATGATGCCCAGTTTTCAGATGAGGAAACTGAGGCTCAGAGGCATCACCTCAGTGCCCAACGAGGATGCTTGAAGCCGGGGTCTCAGTCCTCCACCGTGAAGTCTGAACGGGAGACAGCGCTATGTGCCCATGGACTCGTCTTGTGGGGATTCATGTCTTGGGTCCCCGGGTGGGGGGGGGGGGGGGGTTTAGATCAGAACCTAACACTTGGTAAAAAGTTCAATTAATCAATAAACACCACATTGAAAACACAGCTCTGGCCCAGAGAAAGTTCTCTGAATTCTGGCCAATGCGCTGCCCAGGATTTTTTAACTCCAAAACCTGCCTTGCACCATTTTATCCACATCGCCACAGGGGAACACGGGGTGGGGCAGGGGATGCCGATGAAAACCAAAGTAACGTCCCCAAGCTCTGACTCTGGATCAGATTCGGAGGCCGGAGGTGTACACTCGGGAGGGAGTTTCCATCCCTCTTTTTAGAAATAACCGTTTAAAATGAGAGCTGACATTACTTTGGTTCAGCATATTTGTAAGGCACGATGCAGAAATAATTAGAACCGGTTTGCACTTACCAAGGATAGAAACTTGTGCAAATATATTTTCGGTACACAGCAATGCCCGCGGAAGCAATTCCAATCATTAGATCTAAATTGTGCAGGTCCTGTCGAAAGGAAGAGCAGGGATTCACAGCCCGCTCCGGTCAGGCCCTCGTCCTCTGGTATCTCCCAAGCACCCACGCTTTCATAAACAGCAACGCGCAGAAGCTCCGAAGGGAAAACGTTACGGAGAAGAGGCAAAAATCCCCTCTTAATGGACACTTAAGATCTAAGCATTAGCACCAGGTTCTTCTAAAGTGAACGCACTGACAGTCACACCCCCTCCACCAGTTTCAAAAAGTTACCAGGCCAGTCTGCTCACTCCACAGAATCACTGAGATGAAACTTGAGTTTACATTTTCAACAGTTAGTATGAGGTGTCATATTAAAATCACAAAGGCCCTCCGCCTGCACAGCTTTCTGTAAATCTCAACTCCTGCCACTAGAATGGAGTGTAAAACCACAGATTCTAAATCCAATTAAGATGTAAAAGCTGCTCATAAATCCAATTAATTCAACATCTGCTAAGAACCTGTGTGCTAGGCGTGCCGTCCATAACGAAGATGCAGAAGGAAGATAACCACAACTATACGCAGTTTAAGTTTGTTTGCAAACAAGGTATCAGTAAATAAAATTCAAAAATAAAACAGCTCCTTCCCGGCCCTGGCCCAGTAGCTCAGTTTGTTAGAGCGTCATCCCAATACACCAAGGTTGCAAGTCCAATCTCTTGTCACGGCACATACAAGAAGCAACCAATGTATGCATAAATAAACGGAACAAGTCCATGTTCCTCTCTCTCCTTTCCTCTCTCTCTCTCTCTCTCAAATCCGTATTTACCCGATCAGATACTTGAAATTACAAGGCAAGAGCAGAGTTTGACTCTGCCTGTGTTATTTTGGGCTACTGAGTGTCAATTTTTCCTGTTGTACAATTAGGATTACCGGGCCCACCTCCAAGGGTTTTTATCAGGCTGAAATTAGGGAACATAAGTAAGGAACACAGGACAGGCTTTGGGGACCACTCACTTTGGAGAAAATGATGTGAACACGGGAATTAGAAAAACTGGTCAAAGAACACACTGCCCGTATCCTGAAGGATCCAGAGAGCATTCGCTAGTGGGCACCCAACCGAAATCACACACATAAGCAAAACCAGATTCCCTTGGTGGAAACGAGGGTTGCATTTAAACATGACACTGGGGACCAAAATACAGGGGAAAATACTAAGCAGGTGGTACAGACACACAAATTAGCAAATAAAGTCAAAATGGAGCGCAAAACAAGGAAATCAGTGAGTGGCTTGGGTGGCAGTGACCTGGGTCTCCAATCTCCTGGGTCTGTGGTCTTTCAGTCTGCACTTCAACTCCGGCAGCACAGGCAGTTATGGATCCCTAAGTTCCCATGCCCATCCCAACATCTCGCAGCTCCACTTGTCCGAGGCAGGGCCACAGGACTAGTTCTGGCCAATGTGCTATACGGTCGGAAGTGACAGTGTGTCTCTTACGAGTGGTGTGCAACCCCCCAGCTTCCTCTTGTGACAGGCGCGAGGCCTTGTGTGAAGATGGTGAGGCCACTAGACTGCTGAGTCATACCTGGAGGAGGGCCCCACTGGAGTTGTCAGGACCCGCTGCAGACTCTGAACTACTGAGAAACTTGGTGGTATTACGTTTCTGAGATTTAAGGGGTTTTGGTTGATGCGGCATAGCCAGGGGGACCCCAACTCCCTCTGATACCTTGCAGGTGTCAGCTGGCCTCAGGACCCTCATGGGGCACTGGGGGTGGGGAGAACACGGATCAACTGGAGCGGGTATAAAGCCTACTTCACCACTGAAGAAAGTTCTCCACAACATTCCACTAGAGAGAAAATATTATTTGCAAATGGAGTAAAATTTAATGGTCAAGTCCCAAAGTTCATATTTTGTAAGATCCAGTATCTTTAAAAAAAAATTTTTTTTAATTGATTTCAGAGAGGAAAGGAGAGGGAGATAGAGAAACATCAATGATGAAAGAGAATCATTGATTGGCTGCCTCCTGTACACTCATTACTGGGGATTGAGCCCGACACTTGTACACGTGCCCTTGACAGGAGGAATCAAACCTGGGACCCTGCAGTCCGCAGGCTGATGCTCTATCCACTGAACCAAACTGGCTAGGGCTAGGTTCAGTATGTTTTTCCTACTTTATTACCTATGTCATAACTTGCCTGCCACCATTATGGGCCTGAAGAAAGTATTTGTATGCATTCTAAAAACATTACACAGAGATAAAATTTGGCCATTGACTCAACTTCCCTTAGTCTCATCTGCAAAATGAGATAATTAGGCTACCAATTTCAAAGGTTACTATAATCTTTAAATGAGACCTTATGGTTTCATATGAGACCATCTGGAACAAATGACTAGGTGTTCCACCAATTATTTTCTTCCTTTTGGATATGATGTGGGCCAATTACAGCTATAAAAGTAAAGGTCAGATATCAATTAGAAAGGGCTGGGGTCATGTACTGAAGCCACTACTTATGTGCTATTAAGTCCACGAGTATCAGTTACTCCATCTGTAAAAAGGGAGTAATGATAATACCCCATGGGAAATAAGCCACTGTGTGGCAGATGAAAAGTGCTCAGAAAATAAGTGATGTTGGTCCATTTTATTTAAAAAGTCACAGCCAGCCCTGGCTGGTATTGTCTGGTGGTTAGAGTGTCGGCCCAAGCACCAAAGGGTCTTAGGTTCGATTCCTGGGCAAGGGCACATACCTGAGTTATAGGATCGATCCCCGGCCCTGGTTGGGGACACCTGTGGCAGGCAACCAATCCATGTGTCTCTTTCTCAAGATGTTTTTCCCTCTCCCTCTCCCGCCCTCCCTTTCTCTCTCTCTCTCTCTCTCTCTCTCGCTCTCTCTCTCTCTCTCTCTCTCTCTCGCGCGCGCGCTAAAAAAAAAAAAAAAAAAAAAAATCAATGGAAAAAATATCCTCAGGTGAAGTTTAACAACAAAAAAAGTCACAACCAATTTAAAACATTGCTTTTCATAATCACACAATGATACTTTTTAAAAGACGATGATATTTAAGTAATTCGCTCTAATTTGAGCAGCACTAAGATTAAATAGTAGAAACCGTAGCTTACTAAAGTGTTACTCAGAAAACAGACTTCTATACCATTTTTGCTTCTTTTAACCACAATATAAAATAGCCATACAAAAATTACTTGTTTTTAATCCTCATGACCTTCCCCAAATAAAGTCTTCAAGTACAAAGGCAACCATGAAAAAAGCAACTGAAGAAACAACCAGTAAAACTCGATATTACTTTATAAACTTCCAAACGTCTAAAAAAAGGTCTCTCTCTTTTTTTTTTTTTTGCAAAAGCAAGACTTTTAGAAGTTTCCAAACTTTCAGAAATTAAAATCAAAGTAAGTTTTTGAAGCCAAATGTGCCCCAGGTACCTACCCGACCACTGTGCAGCTCCACGCCATAGAAGTCGAGGGTCCGTGCTATGTTGATGAAGCAAGATTCCGCTTCTGACTGCTTCAGCCCACTACAGAAGAGAGGAGATACGGCGTTCACCCACGAGAGGATGGCAACTCCAATTTAAAAAATGAAGACAAAAAAACTAAAAAATTTGATAGCATTACTCTAAGGTTTCTAAATGCCTCATGGTACCTAGCCCTAAATTCCTTAAGCTTAGTCTAACCCTAAGTTTTACTAAACCAGATTTTTCCTTCTTGTCCACTAAGACTTCTAGCCCATCATTTCTTTATTAAATACTCCTTCTCCTTTAATAGGCTCTCCATGATCAGACAGCAAAGGCTGTCGCCTTCGGAATCCCCACCCTACTTATTCCAAGTTGCTTAGTAGGTGCTCGGTAGGTCTTTCTGCCTTTATCTACCCTTTTAGCAGCAGCCTCCAACTTCCAAACGTCACCGTACTATTTTAGGACGTTGGCTTCTGCCGGGGGAGCAATTCTGGGAGACAGGATTGGCGGTGCCTTTTAGAAGGGACGCTGGGTGCTTGGCCTTTGTTTTTATGGCCTTCCCAAGCATGTGAGGTCCCTTGAGACCCGGCCTTCCAGTCAGGGGGGGCCGGCAGCTGTCAGTCAGCTGAGGCGAGGGACCAGGAGGCCAGATGGGGCGTGTCTGTTGCAGTGAGGCTTGGCCCCAGGCAGCCGCAGACGCCTGGGGCTCCATTCTGGAAGTGAGACGAATGCATGACCTGATGCCAAGAGAGGGCTGTGGACTGAGCCAGCCTGTCAGCACTTTTGTCCACCTGCCTGTGCATTCGACCCCACCTGAAGGCACGGGCCATTTTATTTCAATGGGGTGAACTGTTCAAAGGGTTGCCTGGGAGGGCCCATGAGTGGGGCAGTCAGATTTAAAAGGGGCCTTTCCTTCAGGAGTTAACGGATTTCAGCTGCATCCTGACAAAGAAGGCAGCAAATCGCCCTGAACTCTTACCGCATTTTACACTTTACAGAAAGCCAGTCCTGCCAAATATACATGCCCTCGTTACGGCTCAAAGGTTCGCAAACCCCCCACATCCTGAAAGGATTCGTGAACAAAAGAGAGAGGAGAACAGAGCAAACACAGGGCTAACAGTACCCACCGGGGTTCCCAAAGTAGGCCACCCCATCCCTGCTCTCACCTGTGCTGCTCGTGGAGCGATTCCACCTTCGTGACAAAGTCATCGCTCTGATCTGGTATAAACTGGCTCTCAGAAAGATAGCCCGGATGGTGAATGGAAGAATTATAGTCTCCAAAATGAGCTAGCAAGACAGAACGGGGAGGAAATTGCCCTTTCAACAAGGTCTGCATTTACAGGCATCACAAGAAAAACATTAATTGGAAATATTCTCTCCGAAAGTTCTGCCCCCACAGGAACCTGAGCTTTGCATTAGCTCCGGATTCCACATTTACTACTTGAACTCTCCCCACGGGCGAAGTGCTGCCCAGCGTGCTCCAACCAAATTCTCTCTGTCCCTGAGGTCACATGAGAAGGAAAGGGGAGGCAGTTTGAATCTAGGTCCTATTCTAATCCCACATCTGGTCAGCACAGCAGTTTGTGCTTATACCCCTGGATAAAGAAAAATACGAGAACCCGCTCAGAGCAATGCCCCTCTCTGGATGCCAGGCACTGTGCCGGCTCTCTCTCTGCAGTGCCCCAAGGTTGTTTTAACACTGGGCCAATTTGCTCTAAGAAACGGGTGAGGACTGCATCTTGACTCACCCCCTGGAGTTCAGGAAGTGTGGAAGGGAGGGAACCAGGGTGTGTTCAGAGACCCTGGGGAGGGGGGAGTGTGAGGAATAGGAGTAGGTGGGGCTGAAGGGTCTAGGCCCATGGTTGGCAAACTGCGGCTTGCGAAAGGGAACCAGGGTGTGTTCAGAGACCCTGGGGTGGGGGGAGTGTGAGGAATAGGAGTAGGTTGGGGCTGAAGGATCTAGGCCCATGGTTGGCAAACTGCGGCTCGCGAGCCACATGCGGCTCTTTGGCCCCTTGAGTGTGGCT